TATATATATATATATATATATATGTATACGTATATATAACGTCATCTGGTCATGGATCAATGTGCATATGTAAATGCATGTGAAAATATGTTAATAAAAGCTTCTCGGAATGCCATAAAAATCAATATGCCTTTCGGATAAACTTTATCAAATTCTTCTTCATATTGTAAAGATATTAAATCTCTTTAAGTGAATTAGAGAGGTTTTAAACCTTTGTGGGTGTGGGCCCCACTTAGATAATGACCTAGCCACCAAATTTTTCTAACACATGCCACCTAGTCTTATGATTTAAGACTCATTATCAAGGTATCCTTAGGCTGCCACGTGAGACTCTTTAGCCTTATCCAACATTTTAATTAATCACCCATTAATCCTTACTTAACTTGTTAATTTCCTCCATTAATCAATTATTCACATAATTAAGAATTATCTCAAATTATTTAAGATACTACTCACTTTTAACATACTATATACACCTTACTATCATGGTCATGTGGTACATTGTATGATACTAGTCCATAAATATCGGGTATTATAGCTTGGACCGTTTTATCCCAAATTGTCAAACTTCGACGAAATTCATTTTCTTTGATTTTCTTACCCTCTCACCTTCACGAATTTAATCATCACTTGTTTGAAATAGCATAGTGCTTTTAATCTTAGAATAATATCATTCCCAAACTTACGTCAATTAACTTACGGCGACACTTTAACATACGAAAAATGCGGGATGTAATCTCATTTCCGAGCTTTCATCAATTTACTTATTGTGTACTTATAAGTACGAAAATATGGGGTGTAACAGTAATCATGTAAACATATCCAAAATCATAAGTCTACTAGTGTGTGTCGAGACCTGGTATCACAAATATGTGGGCGTTCTAGTAGAATGTACAAAAGAATACTAGTCCACTGTATGAAAGGAAATAGACAGAAAAAATATAACATAAAGAAGACTCCAGCTGCTGCAGGACGGCTTAGAAGGCAGCTCACTGTGAAGTCTCAAAATAGGGATCAAATCTGCGCGTCGTACTGGTGATCAGATGCACCTGCCTCAAATCCTATACAATTAAGTATAGAAGTGTAGCATGAGTACATAAAAATATGTACTCAGTAAATCTAGTCTAACCTCTAAGAAGTAGTGATGAGGGGTCGACTCCGATGCTTACTAAGGCCAACAATTTAATAAAAGGAAATTCTGATTAAGCATGATATATAGAGATAACAATAAATCTCAGAACAAGAAATAACTGAACAATTTTTTCGTCATATTTAAGAACCCAAAACACTTCCTTCATTTAAAACAAGGATCTCTCAAACAACGAATTTATACAAGTTACAAAAAAGACTTCCAGTTCTATTATCACACACGAATTTCACCGAGGACGTTTGGCCCGATCCAACATAAATATAAATTGTGCACAGCCGGGGTCGAACGGCCTGAACCATAGATGCATCTAATCACCCCGCTCGCGAGTCATACATGTGATGCAGTCAAATGTAAATTTATCAATAACTCATAATCCTTCCTTGATTCTTTTCAAAATAAAGACAATTCAATTTGAAGCTTTTAAATCCTTGGAAATCCTCAACTTAATTCCATTTGTTACAATTAACAAATATAGTCAAATAACGGTATATACAAAGCGTGATGTAAACCTAAAACTACCCGGACATAAACAGGATTAGTAGCTACGTACGGACTCTCGTCACTTCGTGCGTACGTAGCCCCCACAAATAAACACATATTAATTAAGTTCACCTTTGGGAAACTTTCCCTCTTACAAGGTTAGAAAAGAGACTTACCTCGTCTTAAGGCCTACTTCCCAATTCAAGAATGCGCTCAAGCCTCCAAATTTGATGCCAAACGGATCGAAACTAGTCAAACATTACGTAAATTAATCAATCTATGCTCAAGAGTTCATATCCCCACTATTAAAGTGATTACCCAACCCAAATTCCAAGATTCTTAAAATTCACCCTCGGACCCACATGCCCGGATTCCAGAAAATTTTGAAGAAAGTTGTTACCCATAACCTTAGGAACATAAATATATAATTTTTACTAAGTTCCATAACCAATTGCATGGTCAAATCTCACTTTTTATAAAAACAAATCTAGGTTTTCATCTAAACCCTTTATTTTCATTAATGTTTACATGTTAATCTACACATAATCTATGTATTTAACTCATGTTGTGTGGAAATTACTTACCTCAAAGTGCTAGGAGAAAACACTCTTCCAAAAGCTCCAAAAATCGCCCAAGAGATGGAGTGAAATGAAATAGATGGCCTAAGTCCCGAATTAAAAGAGTTAGGCACAGGCCTCTAATGTCGCATTTGCGACACCAAGTTCGCGAATGCAAGGGTCGCAAATGCGACAAAACACTCGCAAATGTGAAGCCTGGCTTCAGCTGCTCAGGTCGCAAATGCGACGCAGGGGTCGCAAATGTGATAACTGCTAAGGCCGCAAATGTGGCTCAGGTGTCACAAATGCAAATAATGCTCCAGTCGAGCTTCTTCGCAATTGCAAAGCTCTTCTCGAAAATGTGAGGTTTGCATTTGCGAACTATTTCTCGTATTTGCGAGACCTGCAACTGATGCCAAGAAACACCAAAAATCTGGTGTGTTTTTCATCCCTTTCGAATGTTCGAAACTCACCTGAGCCCTCGGCTCTCCACACCAATCACTCACAAAAGTCTAGAAACATCGTACAAACTTGATCGCGCGATTGGAACAGTGAATAAAATCAAAATCCGTGAATTGGATGCCAAAACGCATGAATTTACTCATGAACTCCAAAAACTTCTAAAACACTTTCGCGCGTACGATTCCTATCAAATTAACTCGGAATGATGCCAAACTTTGCATGCAAGTCTTAGACCTACTCCAACTTCCGGAACTAGAATCCGAACCTGATATCAAAAAGTCCACCCTCGGTCAAACTTTCCAAATACTTCAAGTTCTAACTTTTTCCAAATGACTTTGAAATGACCTACGGACCTCCGAATCCATTTTCGGATGCGCTCCTAAGTGCAGAATCACCTTATGAAGCTATTCCCAGGCTTGGAATCCCAAACGAACATATATAATGTAAAAATCCATTTCAACCTAAGCCTATGGAATTTGCTCAAAATGTCAACTTTTACTATTAGGCGCCAAAACGCTCTTAGGTCATCCAAAACCCGCTCAGAATATATGCCCAAGTCTGAAATCATCATACGAACCTATTGCAACCGTCAATCCTGATTCCGAGGTCATTTACACAAAAAATTGACCGAAGTCAAACTTGCCCTTTCAAGTCAACCTTAAGAAACCAAGTGTTCCGATTTCAACCCGAACCCCTTCAAATCCTAGACCAACCGTCCCCACAAGTCATTGTTACACCTCCTTTTTACCACTCCCGGAAGGGTGTATAAGGTAGTTTTTCAATTTAAGTGACAATCGAAACAGGATTATTTATTAAAATCAGAGTCGCCACTTGGGATAATTTATGGTGTCCCAAGTCACCGGTTTGAAATCCCGAATCGAGGAAGTTTGACTCTATTTACGGTCTGCGAACACAGAAATCTAGGTAAGGAATTCTGTTAACTTAGGAGAAGGTGTTAGGCATTTCCGGGTTCCGTGGTTTTAGCACGGTCGCTCAACTATTATTATTGGCCTAATTATCTGATTTTTTACACGTTTTAAACCTATTGTGCATTTTTAACTTTTTAGTTGCTTTTAATATTTCGTAAAAATTCAAGGTTATTTAAAACGCATCGTAAGCCACGGTACATGAAATGCACCCGTGGTTCATGACACGTTCTATTTAACCCTGTGGAAATTGAAGTCGGGTCACATGAAATGGACACCCGGGTTTTAAAATTAAGTATCACAACTACGTCACGTAAACCGTACCCATAGCTATGACAATTAAGAAAATAGAAATAAAATTAACTAAAGTAAATAAACCTAATTTTATGCTCATCCTTTTTTAACTTTTCATTTCATGTATTCGGCCGAGCCCAATTTCTAAACATGGAAATAAATTAATTATCAAATGGGCTGGTTATATCCCCAATCCCATAACCTCAAATTTTGTTTAAAAGCACATCTTAAATGAAACAAAGCATGGCAAATAGTTCGGACAAAGAAATAGCCAAAATGCGGGCGACTAGCTAGGAGAAGTAAATAAAAATACGGTAAAAGTAATTCTTTAATCCCATTCTACACACCCCTCCCCACCACAATTAAGACCATACCATGTGATTTTATATACCTGTGCTATAACTCCACAATTACATTCAAATACCACATAAAAATCTCAAATCTACATCATTATGGACACTACACTTAAATATGCGAATTCAATTATGAAACCCATTTTTACCATAGAACCATGCCAAGCATCCAAATTCGACGACAAGAGCTCTTTATGTTAGTGAGATGGCTTATTGCAGAACTTCATTTATCTTTTGAAAAGACACACAATTCATTCAATTAAGGACTAAATTCCAGCCTTTAAGATTTAGAAGAGCAAAGAGAAATCAACTCCAATGACAGTCCAAACTAGCTTCACGACAACTCTAATAGACCATGAGATCCAAAAATGATAAATTAACTTTGAGGCCAATATGATAAGTTCATCTCCTAAGTCCTATGCCAAACAGAGGAACCTTTATATAACATAAGTCTTATGTGCTTTTGTGTCAAAATTTAAAGAACAAATGAAAACCAATAGATCAAAGTAACATATAAATTACACATGCTCGATTCTGTTGAAATTAGGATCAATCTATGCTACTCAAATATCACCATTATCTTCATACTAAGGGCAATCTAAGCAGGACTGATAAAGCAAGGAATATAGCAGCCCAGGCATCTTAAACCAAAAGAATGCGATTGAGAACAAGTCGTAAATATCGCAAAGAAGTTCTCGAGATTCGACTTGCGCTTAATCTCAATCGGACGAGCAAGGCAAACTCAAGAGAATTAAAGTAGAACAATTTTATCTCCTAAAAAAAACATAGACAGATTCTAGGCATTTATTCTGTTTTAATCCAAAAGTTCCATCATAATTTAGTCATACTTCAAATAAAAAAGGAGGTAAGATATAAACCTGAGTGCAAGCAACTTTCGATTAATAAATTCAGGAACGAATACGGGCAAACCGGCGTAGGAATTTGAAAGTGCGACAGAACACGAACAAGACAACAAGAATTGAAATCGGAACCGTAAACCTCGACTTCCGAATCGCACTCGAAACCACTCCGGACAGCGGCGATTTCAATAATCTTAGCTTGACTCCATAATTTAAACCTTTCTCGTTCTCTTCACTATTTTTTGGAGCTCTTGCTCTATTTTTCGTCTGTGTATGGGAGAGTGGTGAAGGCTGTGCGTATGTTAAGATTGAAGAAGAAAGACTTCAGGGGGGTCGTGTGTGTCCAGTGGCTTCAGAGGTCTAGGTCGTTAAATGTTTGGTCAGTGGAAAAGGGGTGGAGAAGAAGGAGAATGGATGGGAGGGGGTCGGTCGTCTATGATATGCCGTTGAAGGAGATGAACAACGGGTGATGGGTTTTTCTTGATTATCAAAAGCGGCGGATAGCTTCAGCTTTTTAGGCTTAGGTCCCTAGGTATTAGGCATCGTTTGGTTGTATCCATCATCAGAAAACCACTGATTAGTAAATTAGGGGCCTAGGTCTTTTAGTTTATAATTTGGTTTATATTTGATAGGTGAAAGGATTATGACTATTGAATTAAAATGGATCGATGATTGAGATTAAAATGGTGTATTTGGGCAGGTCAACTGGGTTGATGGGTTATTTGGGCTGTGGAGAATTGGGTTGGTCCAAATTGGGTCCTAAAATTGGGCTCCAAGACTTTTAAAATTGTGGTCTAACACCTTAGTTAACTCCATTTAATAAAAGATAAAAATACTACACAATGCAAAAACTAATTTTAATCAATTAAACTAAACTATATTAAAATATGAAACTATTATATATTTTTTGTATTTTCAAGATTATATAAAGATAAAAATAAGGTACTATTTTTGTATTTATTTATTTGAATTTATGAAAGATACGTAAACTAAAATATTTTTGTAATTTCCTTTTTTGTGACAAAATAAAGTAAAAGAATTAAAATTAGTTGAAATAAAAATATTAGGCCTAAACTAAATATTTACATGCTAAAATATAAAAAATCTTGGGGAAGGTCAAAAATCACATGTCTACAGCTGCCCCTCTTTGACTGGAAACATGAAGTATTTTCAGATAAAGAACGACTAGACAGGTTTTTTGACCCGACCCTTATTTAGGGAGACCAAAACTAAGAGAAAGGAGAATGTGACCGAGCCCTGGTATCTGAGTTGCCTACATATCCTTGGCTATAAAAGAATTAGGCCACGTGTAGTTTAGAAGTGCGTTAGATGATAGAGTATACCGAGGTGGACAACCGATCGAGGTGATATTCCGTCGAGGTTTCGGTCCGCGATCCTGTTATTACATCAAAATCAAAACCTGAAAAAGACTAATTTGGATTGTAACTAACTTCTGTTGATCATCTCGGACTGTTGACTCACATTCTTGCCGCGAGCTTCTTTTGTTGCTGACTTGAATTGCATTCTGAAGTGAATTCCCTTGTTCTCCAGGCAGGCGCCTGATTACCAAAACTTGAATTGTATTCCCTTTGTTACCTTAAGCTGTTTTCCCTCGAAACCTGTGTTGACTTCCTTTAAAACTTGAACCGCTTTCCTTATTCTCCAGGTGGGTGCCTGATTGCCAAAAGCTTTAACTTTATTCCCTTGCTCTCTAGGTGGGCGCCTGATTGCCAAAAGCTTTAACTTTATTCCCTTGCTCTCTAGGTGGGCGCCTGATTGCTAAAACTCTAACTGTATTCCCTTACTCTCCAGATGGGCGCCTGATTTCCAAAACTTGAACTGCATTCCCTTGCTCTCTAGGTGGGCGCCTGATTGCCAAACCTTTAACTGTATTCCCTTGCTCTCTAGGTGGGCGCCTGATTGCCAAACCTTTAACTGTATTCCCTTGCTCTCCAGGTGGGCACCTGATTGCCAAGACTTTGGCTGTATTCCCTTTCTCTCCAGGTGGGCGCCTGATTGCCAAAACTTTAACTGCATTCCCTTTCTCTCCAGGTGGGCGCCTGATTGCCAAAACTTTAACTGTATTCCCTTGCTCTCCAGGTGAGTGCCTGATTGCCGAACTTTAACTACATTCCCTTGCTCTCCAGGTAGGCACCTGATTGCCAAAACTTTAACGTTATTCCCTTCCTATCCAGGTGGGCACCTGATTGCCAAAACTTTAACTGCATTCCCTTTCTCTCCAGGTGGGTGCTTGATTGCCAAACCTTTAACTATTTTTCCTTGAGACTTGGATTGCTTCTCCTTGTTCTCCAGGTGGGTGCCTGATTTCCAACACTTGCACATGTTTTTCCTTGAGACTTGAACTGCTTCTCCTTGTTCTCCAGGTGGGCGCCTGATTTCCAACACTTGCACTGTTTTTTCTTAAAACTTGAACTGCTTCTTCTTGTTCTCCAGGTGGGTGCCTGATTTCCAACACTTGCACTACTTTTCCCTTGAAAGTTGACTTGTTTTCCCTTGTTCTCCAGGTGGGCTCCTGATTGTTGAACTTGAATCGTCTTCCTTTGAACATCGTTGCTTTCCCTTTGTTCTCCAGGTGAGTGCCCGATTACCAACATTTACACTGTTTTTCCTTGAGACTTGAACTGCTTCTCCTTGTTCTCTATGTGGGTGTCTGATTTCCAACACTTGCGCAGCTTTTCTTTTGCACTGCTTTCCTTTGAAACTTGAGTTGTTTTCCCTTGTTCTCCAGGTGGGTGCCTGATTACAACAAAATAGACAAAACAAAAGAAATGTTTCTGCCCCAGTTTGATATTGGGAACATCTGTGAGTGTTTACCAGTTCTTGTTATCAAAATAAGTTCTAAGCTAAATTCCTTTGTCCTGAAAAATTTCAAACCAAATCTCATCTCAAAAGTGAAAAACTTAAATGTTAAATTATACTTCCCAAAAGTAAAACTCTCGTCAAACCTTTTCACTTGCGAGGGTCTCAGAACTTACTAAATCCCGTTATCCATAAGGGTACTAGAAACTTACTGCCGAGCCTGTCTGGCACCTGCTTTCCTCACGGAGGGTTTCTCCGGAACAAACAAAACTTCCTGCCCATATTTCAATCAAAGAAAACTTGTGAGTTTAAACATGGTAGTTGGTTTGCGGACTTGACTTTGAGGGTGATTTCTCCTTCACTTCCCAGGATAACTGCGATTTCAACTCGAAAGACCTTGCCCGTTTATTGACTGACCACTTTCTTGGTCATCCTTATCACGGAAGATACCTCTGATCCGTTCAAACCCAATACCATGCATCTATTGCATTGCGCTCATGCATTGACATATACTGAACCTTTGTGTTTCACATGAATCCTAAAGCGCGTCAATTGCCACCCACTCAGTGCGCATGATGTTCTTTCCTGACATAAACCACTGGCCTTGGCCTAGGTCTATTGCTCCTTCACTTGCCATGATAACTTTGATTTCCGCTTGGAAGACCTTGCTTGTCATTGGTTAACCACTTTCTTTGTCAACCTTATCATAGAAAATACCTTTGATCCGCTCACCCAACATCCTCGATCTGTTGCATTGTTCATGAATTGACATATACCAAACCTTTGTATTTCACATGAATCCCAAAGCACGTTGATTGTTACCAACTCAGTGTGCATGCTGTTCTTTCCTAACTTATGCCACTTTGATGTGCTAGCCAGATCTAGTTTTGTGCAATTGGAAAGCTGGTGGCAAATTTTGAAGTCATTTCTCACTTGTTCTAACCAAACAGACTCAGGAAGAGAAAGTAAACAAGACAAAGGAACAGAGTAAAGGACAATGGAAAGAGATGATTCCTAACAAGAAAACTACAAAGTAGAAACTTATCAGATATGGATACCAACTCTAATGACCATGACATGCACATTTGGATTAAGTGGCCTAATCTGTCAAGAAAGTCTAATGTTTAACTCTTGTTGTACCTCTTCGCCGTGAAACTGGGCTTCAATGCTCCGATTACTCTATTTGATTCACGATCCTTGTTCGACTTGTGGTGGCCGAAGGGTTTTCACCATCAAGACTCTCTCATTTTTCTCTCTCTCAACTTACTGTCGCCTTACGGTGCCAGTGAAGGTTTTCACCGATAAGACTCTCTCATTTTATTCTTTTTCTTCTTATTTTCTCTGATTCTGTAGATGACAAGGCATTGACCATGGTAAAATCATCATATAATCTTGGCATGTCTAAACTCAACACTCTCAAAGATTATCTGGGAGGTCTTTTTTTTGGACTGTGATATGGCTTTTGGACAGAGTTAGAAAGAAAGGATATCATAAAGGCTCAAAATAACTAAGACAACAGGGTTAATTTATTTACAACTTTTGGAATCCATTCTAAAAACTTTGCCTCAATTTCTAAAACAAGGGAATTTGATTCTTTTTTTTTCTTTTTCTTTTTGAAATGGAGTTTCTAAGAAAGACTACCCCACTCTCGACTTCGTGGGATTATGAAATATTTTATTTGGTATGACCGAACCGTAAGGTTGCCTACGTATCTTGTGGTAACAAGAATCAGGTCAAACGGTTCACAAAGATACACTTTGTTGTTGCTATTTTTCTTTTTCTTTTCTTTCTTTTTTTTCTTTCTTTTCTTTTTTTTTCTTTTCCCTTTTTTTTATCTCTATTTTTCTCTTCTTCTTTTTTTTTTTGAATTTTCCTTTTGGAATGAACCTTTTAAAATAAACCTATGGGGACATAAAAAAAATTTCTTTTTTCGTATGACTCTAACTTGATTCCAAAAGAGGGGAGGTCAAAGAAATTAGTACAGACTCAAAAGGATATCAAATGGTATAAGTGTTTGGGTAGCTGAAAGAGGGTCTCCCAATCCCTGAAAATGCCAAGTACAACACATGCAACTTGAAATGAAAATTGAAGATCATGCTCAATATTTCTTTTGCGGCTTCGGCATTGATATTACTGATATGCCTTCCACTTTTCTTTAGCGCCTTGTTAAGTACAAAACCCTCATTGGGTGATTCCCTTTTCACAATGAATGTCCTCAGTCTGTTTGGAGCAATCTTCCTTGGATGTATCTTGTTACTTGAGATGCACTTGAACTCAAATTTTCTCGCTTCAAATTGTCCGGATGCATTCTCCATTAACGAATTCTTGTCATCCTATTAACTTCCCAAATTATTTTCCCCAGTTTTACATAATTAGGGCTTTAAATGATCTCAAAAATATCCAAATCTATACTTATTTCTCTTAAGTGCCCCTATCATCTTCAAAATTATTTCATTGCTTTATGGTTAGACTAACTTTTAAGACCAGGCCTAGAATTATGCGTGCATATCATGTCACTAGAACCAGCATGAAAAGAACTATAAAAGGAGAAGAGAACTAAACAAAAGGATAGAAGGGTTTGAGTCACAAGACAATATCCGGATTACAACCCTAAAAATAACCCGAACAACAGAAATGACAACAAAATAAATCACCACAACTCCTCCCCGACTAGTCAAGAAATGGAACGTCTTTCCAAGNCAGCACTAAACGAGTTACTATGACTAAACAAACCAGGCAAAATAAAAGGATAGATGGGTTTGAGTCACAAGACGATAT